GGCAAGAAGACACTGAAGGTAGAAGGTGGATCTGTTAAAGGGGAGGGGGTGGTACACTGAATGTACAGGACAGCACATTTCTGGCTAAACAAGCAACTCCTCACTGGCAAGGTAGCCTGTTGCAACTCAAGCATAAAACCTGAACCAAACTGAGCTCCTGGGTTTGGGAAGTTACAAGGAGAAAAGCAGAGCTTTTGGAGAGCTCCGCCCCGCCGCCGGGAGGGTCGCTCCGGCTCCGCGCGCCGGGATTTCCTGGGCGCCGGCGGGAAGGACCTGCCTGCGGGGGTCCCCTCTCCGCGCTCAGAATTGGGAGGCGGGTAGGTTGGGTCCTGCTGGGAGCTCCTCTAGGTGTGCGTGAAGTTGTGAGCAGATGGATACTACTTTTGAAGCTGTTCCACCTTCCTTGGATTCGAAAATCTTTGTTAAGTCGTGTTCAGAGCTGCCTGCCCGTTTTGCTGGACTGGGGGAGGGACAGCGATGTGCTTCCTTAACTCTTTCAGCAGTGTCTATAAATTGAAGCTCTAGATGGGTGATACACTCAATTCCAGAAACGACCTGGTGGACATTGATAACACTGTGGTATTCAGATCAATAAACATCTCAGTTATTCACCATATTTGCATTGATTCTATCTAAGAAGATGCAAGAATCAGACTGGCTTCAACCAATTAATCTCCAGGCGAACCATTAATAACGTCTCCATCAAAAGGCCCCTTCTGTGTAATGAACCAAACAGAAAAGAATTGAAAGGCTTTATTTTAAAATTTAAAGGAATATGAAAGACATGGATCAGAGGGGAGCACTTGGTAGTTCAGGTGACTGAGGAGAGGAACAAGTTGCCCTGATCTTGTCTTTACAGTATCTTCACTCTACAGCCCATTTTCTCTTCCAGCAACTCAGTGTTGTAGCTCTGACACAGCAGAGACTGAACTTGTGGCTAAAACCCTTCCCAAGATGCCCCACCTGTCACTGGGAGATCCCTGTGGGGACCTTGTGATTCTTGGACCTTAAAATGTTTTCCATTGTTCCCTGGCTACCTGGTCCACTGGTTCTGCCAGTCCTTCACTGTTAGCAGACAGCTGAGTGATGACAGAGACCCAGCAGGCTCACAGAGCTTGCATACCTGTAGAAATTAATAACCACTGCACTTGTACTTTGTCATTTGTGCACTCTGACACTGCAGGGTGGAGCCCAAGAGGCACCCAAAGGGTGGCTAATTTTGACAGGAATGAAACATCTATGTTCCTGGAAGTTCAGGAGTGACTGAGAGTACAATTTCTTTCAACACCCCAAAGAGAACAACGGCCAAATATGAAAACTGTAGGTAGTTGTGGGATTTGGAGAACCTTAAGGTTTTGCCTTTGTCTAAGTTGTCTAAGTGCTTTCTGTTAAGACTCAATTTTTTTTTTTTTTTTTGGTACTGGAGGTACAAAAAACTTTTTGCTTGTGAGGCAGGCGGTAGCACCACTGAGCTAAATCCCAGGGCCTTTTCTTTTCTTTTTTTTTTTTTCTTTTTTTTTTTTTTTTTTTTTTGAGACAGTCTCATTATGTATTCCAAGCTGGCCCTTAACCTGTTATATAGCCCAGGCTGTTCTTGCAACTCTGGGAGGCTGAGGCAGGATTGAAAATTCTACCCCAACCTGGGTAATTACTGAATTAGTGAGACCTGTCTAAAAAAAAAAAAAAAAAAAGGTAAAAACAAAACTAGGAATGTAGTTCAGGCAAGGGCCTTGGTCTCAATCACCAGTACTAGGAAAACAAAACAAAACAAAAAGACAAAGTTGGCTTTGTTATTCCTGTGAAACTGAAGAATTGATAAAAACCTTACTCAAGAGTCTTAGGTCTGCTAGGTGTAAACTAGAAAGCAGGTGTATTCATTCAGTCTGGTGCTCTCCTCACCACCACAGATGGCTGTGCTCAGCATCAAAGGGATTGAGCTCAATCCCTGTCCACAAAGATCTTGGTTGTGATAAGCATAAAGTCCAGGGTAAACCACGACTTTCTTCCTGACTCGAGGTGAAACTCATCATCTTTGGAGCTCATGACTCTCCATCTGTATGGTCTTTTTAGGTAGACTATATTTTTGAACTATATGTGAAGCAAATGCTTAGTCTCCTAGTATGCTTAATAGCTTTTTTTTTTTTTTTTTTTGTACTGGGGATCTAACTCAGGACCTTGTGCTTGCAAGGCGGGTTCAGTGCCACTGAGCTAAATCCCTGACCCTTAAAAGCTCCTATTTAATTAAAATCTTGGTTGGTCGTCTAGTGGCACATTCAGGAAGATGGAAAAGTCTATTCCGTTTGGAAACCAGGAAGGGAAAGGGACTAGGTCTCTTGCTCCCTGGCAGGACCCCAGAAGGAAATACCCAGTTGGTATATAATTTGTGGGACCAAGCACAAAATGAGAATGCAGAATTCCAGCTGGCCATGGTGGCATACGCCTGTAATCCCAGCATTTGAGAGGCTTTGGCAGGAGGATCGCTGTGAGTTCGAGACCACCCTGGGCTACACAGTGAATTCCAGGTCAGTCTCAACTACATAGTGAAACCCTGTCTCAAAAAACAAACAAACAAACAAAAAAAAGAAAACGCAGAATTCCTTGCTCAAAAATGAGAAAGCATTTCAAGACTGCAAGAGCAGAGCATGAAACCAAGCACGGATTCCCTGCAACTGCACCAGTTTCACACCCAGGAAGCCAATCCTGCCTAACCCTGGCGGGGCTGCTTTGCAGATCATAGACCTGCCCCCAGACCTCCAGCAGGTTCCAGAACAAGGCAGGACAAATAATTTGAAGGCAACCGGGTGAGCTGGTGAGGACATCCCCTACCTCCGTGTTCCAAAACTCACAGAGCTGGCAACCTCTGGCCCAATAACTGTGGCTTTCAAAGGCCTGAGACCAGATCTACCCTTCATTCACAGAAGCGATTTACTGGATATGTAAGCAATATATTTGGGGTTACCTTTTAAAGCCATCATTTCCAATGAAATACACATGTCTCTGGGCTGTTGGATTTGCCTTTTATTTTTCTATGCACAAATAATGATTCTTTAAAAATGCCCGCTGTTGTACCAAGACACAAAAGATCACACGATTCAGGAGAAACTGAAAAGCCTCTGCCATTCAGAACCTTGGCAAAGTCTAACTCCCTCCCTCTCTCCGTCCTTTTCTGGTTGGGTTGGGGTGGAGAGGCCAGCCGCTGCCACCTGCGCCACCCACACCTTGCACCCCACGGTTGGGGTGGTTATCCCTCCGAGCAAGATCGCCCCGCCTGCTGCTCACCTCCTCCCTTGAGCTCCACACCTCCGCCCCCCTCTCTCTCTCGATTTTTAATCCTACGGCTTGGAAGGAGGGAGGGGACCAAACGGGAGCCAGATGTGTGCGCGTCCCTTGCTCCCGCCTCTCCCTCTTCTTGGGCTTCCTAAAACCTGGAGCCTGATCCACTAGGATTCGGAGTCAGACGCGGCGCAAAACAACTCCGATCCGAGGCTCCTGCGGGACTAGAAGCCGGGAGGGAGGGGGAAAGGAAGCCGAGCATGCTCAGTAGGCGGGACAAAGTTTTTTTTTTTTTTCTCTCTCCTTTATTTATTTTTTTTCGGTTGCAAGTAGGAAGCTTTTTGCACTCCACCACCTCTGGCCGCTGGGAAGACGTCATCGCTTCCGCCCTACTTCCTCCTCCTGTTGGCGGCGGTGAGAATCCAATATGGAGTAAATCGGTGGAGTCTAGAGATGGGGCTCGGACGGGGCGCCCTGCACCGCCTCCAAGGCGCACCTCCCCCGGCCGCCGACCGCTCCCCGGAACCGTGATT